GTTATATTTTAAGTTTAATTATATTATATAAAGCTATAAGTTATTACTAATTAATAGAAAATATAAGTATTATAAAATTAAGCTTACTTTATAACTATTATTAGTTTAAGGGAAAGTATTAAATATTAAATTTATATTTATTTAATCTATAATAGTTATATTATATTTAGTTTACTTAACTCTTATATATTAGTTCTTTATCCTTAATATAATATTATTACTTCACCTTATAACATAAATACCCCACAAGCCATTGTAAGCGGGAACACAATAGAAAATCGTCCAAACAGCGCCAGACGATCCTAGAGCAGGAATTCTGCACCTTGAACAATCCTGACACACAGCTCTCTATAGGTTTCCTGAAGATAATCTTGTAGTTCGCAGTCTAAGGGAACTGGCCAGGGGCAAGAGACATGGGGGAACCTGGTTCAAAGCTTTTAAACCTCAATCAAGCAAACTACCTTGAACGCCCAAAGATGCATAATGAGGTTGGCGACAGATACGCTCGGAAACCAAATATCATAGCCTGCCCAGACCGACGAGCCTTCTGAGGGAACCTTCCAGCAAAACACGCCACTAGATGGCTCTGCACCCAATGGGTCACCCCAGTCTTGTAATTGATCATATGTTCTTTTGAGTAGGTAGATGGCCTCCGTGGCAATTGACTCAGCTACACAGGTAGGACTATCAAGGGTATCGATCAATTCAAGAACTGTGGGTATGATGGAAGCCTCAAAGGTGCATTTTCGATTCTTTCTAGAATTCGAAATGTTTTCTTTTCCAGACATCATCAGAAAGGAAGGAAGCTTTGCGAGATGAAAATGCTTTCAGAATCTAACCAATAGTCAAAACTCCTAACAAATATCAAATAAAGAGGTAAAGCACTTACCACTAGGGGTCTAAACCCGGCGTAAAGCTTATGACGGATTACGAGACTGAATGTTCCAGCAGACCAAAGCCTCATCCACTCCCCAACGCCATCTATATGGCGCCACCAACCATTACTTGAAGTTGCTAGTATCGTCTAGAGAAAATAAATCGTCAGGTGAACGTCCTTTATGAGGTCATGACAATACTCACCTCTGTTAATATGAGACACATGATAGCCACAGCGACTTCATCTTGCGAGGATAACTCTGTAGACGGCCCTTCTAATTCTCCCTTTAAGGAGCGCATAGCTAGACCATACTTTTGCAGCAATTTAGTACGTATGGAATGCGAAATCTATCGCAAATCAGATATAGATGCTGCAAGGCAGCGTATTGCTGACGAAAGCCCTGTCCTTGCCAACGAGTACTTATCGTGGGAAGGACTTCAACCCAATTGCCACAAATGCGAGATTCAGTAGGTCTATTTTGATGAATGACATATAATTGACCTTCTTGCATGAAATTTCGCATGATGAGCAGAACCTGGCCCTGAAAGGGGTTCTCTGGTGTGCCCGTAATCATAAGAGGTTGTCTCGGGTGTAACAATTGCATGTCACAGGGACCCACTCTCATCTCAGCCGTCTTAGCAGGAGGTTTTGATTTCTTAGATGTGGTTTCGGGAACAAATAACAAGTCTGTAGGGTAAGAAAATTCGCGCCGAGAATGAGTGCATTGCAAACAAGCAGGCTTTGCCCTATTGCACTAAGAGTGGGTCAGCTGACGATGACAACGAGTATGTATGTGGCGAAGGATATTACCCCTATTTTGCGTGATCCACACGTTTGACAGACTGTTCGCTTGCGTACTTTTGTCCTTGAAAAAGGGGCTGGATGGATGCTTCACGGGGCCAGAACGTGATGCTCGGACAACATGTAGAGAACAAAATTGGGTTGCTTACGAGAAGACGTTGGTTTAAAAGCTCGGGCTTGGCGGAATTACCCCCCAATAGTCGCTGGTCTATCAAGCTTGAAGCCCTTGATGCAGGACGGCCAATCATCGTAGTTGCTTATTAGTTGTAACGTTACATTTTATCCGCGCCCATATTTAAATGGTCTCGATTATGTGACTCAGCTGCGTCTTAGTAGATGTGCCGAGCCTTGGCGTCATTTGTTGCTGCTTTGCGTTTGCTCACTTGCCAGAGTTGCTCCAGCATCATGTATGCCAATGCTCGATCATATTGGTGTCAGTGTCTACAGTATCCGCTAAGCTGCTACTCGTTTCGACTGTTCTGGTCTACTGGACCATTACATCAGAGAAAAGCTGACGCGATACTGAGTCGAAGCAAGTTGAGATGTAGCAAGAACATGTGGTTGGCAGACTCGAAACACAGGCTAAAGAAGACCTTACGGTGCCCTTGTTCGGCTAAAAGTCTTGAGTAAAGGCTAGGCCAAAAGTGTTAACCCATGTCTGTTATCTTACTTACTAAGTTCTGTCTGCTGATTTAAGCTCTTAGCTAGAAGTCTCGCCTGGAGATAACACACCTAGCTCACAACGTGCCGTACAGACTTAGTTACTCTGCTAATCCTACCGCTCGACCTTCATAGCCTTCGGATAATAGTTACGTCTCCTTGTAGTAGCAATGGGGCGATTTTATGGGCAGCCTGTTGCAGAATAGGTGCATAATTTAAAAAGCTCGTTTAGTGATGTAGGCTATAAATCAAATCGCTGATGTTAGAGTTCAGGAATGGTCCAATGGAACTGGGAACAGAGATCATTAATTAGTAATAGGGGCGATAGTGTTGATCCTTAATAGCTATTTCGCCACTGATGCCGGTAGATCCCTGTTAAAGACTGCAATCTGAAATGGTATAATGTCTAAGTTGTTAGCTAGATGTGTTATTTACAGTTGCGGCTTGTGGCTGAGAGCTTAAATCAGCAGACAGAACTTAGAATCTGAAAAACTGCAAAACAGAGACGTGTAAGCACGATGAGAGCAATAGATTGACGAACTTGAGACGTTACAAGCAGGCTTAGGCATTACTTCTTCCGACACTGGTAGTCGTTAAGTCGTCGTCAGTCATTTTTCCGTCGTCTCCGTAGTAAATAAGGCAAAGGTTACACAGGTTACAGGATAACAGCCTTTAATATATCTATAGCACAATGCCACAACAGGCCCTGTTTGGATAAGCAATAATTCGTAGTCAATCTGAAAAACCTAACTAAGGAAGAGTAAGAAATAATCAATTTGAAGTTATCCCACTTTCCCAAACCGGAGCATTATGGCATGAGGGCCATTGGCTACTGCGACCACCGATGTGCCTGTATCAAAGTTAGGCTTCACCACAAAGGTATATTCGTTTGCCATTGACCGGGGAATCCACAAGACTCTTGTGGAACCTCTCATGAGCCAAGCTTCGTTATCGGTATAGACAATCCTCAAGAATTCCTGATTCCAAATGGGTGGAGAGCCTTCTCGCTCGGAAGTCCCTTTCTCCTGTTGCAGTTCTTCCCGCATCTGTTTAGTCTTTGCCAGATCCAAATCTATAACACCATGGCCAACGTCAATTCGAGAGTTGGACCTCGGATCGAACTTGACATATTGGGTTGGCGGAAGGACATATTTCACAACCCAAACACCCTGGCCGACGTCCAAGATACTCAAATTGCTTTCGTTGAAAGTGAAAAACGATAGAACCGCTAGGAGACCATCAGAACTCCAGGACAGGTCTTCTGCTCCAATTGAGTTATTGTTTTCGAACGTCTTTTCTTTCTCCCTACGTTTTGAATCCCAAATTGATAGGATTCCATCCTGATATAGATCGCCCGAGAAGGAAAGGGCGAAACGGTCGTTGAAAAATGCAGAAATTAGAGGATAGTTAACCCATAACTCATTTTCAAATAGACGCAAGCTCTCGCCAGTAGTCGGGTCCCAAATCTGTATCTGCCCTTCTGTGCCATAGAGTGACACAAGCTGACCCGATGGCTTAAATCCTAAAACAATATTTGATGAATTATGATCGTCCATGGTCGATCCCAGCTTGTGAATACACTCGCCTGCTTGAGTATCCCAAATGTTTATAAGCCCACTTTTATCCACGAAAGCGCACTTGTAGTCTGGCCCGAAGACTACTGGAAAGGTGGAAACCGTGGAATGGTACCTAGCGACGGAGAATTGACAGAGTGTGATTCCCGTTGCCGTGCTTGTAACTGCTATGTCTTCATTACTTCTTTGTATGACAACCTCTTCGCTGGGGCCTGAGAAAATTCTAACAATGGGATTTGATGCTTTTGACTTGACAGAGTTGGGATCGTTTGAATCTGAATCAATGCGCCACATTTTGACCGATTCTGATTGCAATGAGGCGAGGCTAGTGACGCTTCCATAGTGCACACCAGTGGTAGGTGCTGAAGGTATTCGTAAGATTTTTTCGTTCTTTTCTGGGTTCCACAGTGTGATTCCTTCGCTTGTGGCGACAGCGAATGATTGACCGTCGGGTGCCCAGGTTACATCATTAATATCAGAGAGAACCCCTTCGCCAATCATACAAGCTGGTTCAGTGGGATTCTGCCCGTCCCAGATCCAAACCCCATTTAAGTAAGTTGCGACGACCAGACGCTTGCAGTCCGGATGCAGAGATGCCGCGCGGTATCCTGGGTTGGGACCCAAGGATGCCCTTGATATCACGTCGCCTGTCTCAAGACTCTGAACGGCGACCCATGACTCCCCTTCTGGTACGGAAATGATAGAAATCAAACACACGTCTCCCGAAGTGCTGATTCCAAAATCAACCCACTTAAGTTCACCTTCACCTTGACATGGATATAAGGAGTATTTGCAAGTTGCAACCCAAGGATCCCAAACATGCACCATTTCACCAGGCTTAGCTAAAGCAAGAAGCTTTCCATCTTGTGAGAGGGCAGTAAACTCAACAAAGTGCAAGTTGCTCTGAAATGATTGTATGTAGTCGCAGGTGTTTGAATCCCAGATCATGATACTATCTCTCCTCTCCAAAGAGTCAGGGTAAGTGGGTTGGTAAATCATGACCAAATGATGCCCTTCGGGGCTGAAAGCAATAGGCCGCATGTTAGTGGGCATGTTGTCCGCATCCGCCCCCAGCCTTCTTACTATTTCGCCCGTCAAGGAGTCTACTATGAGAATGGCACTGCCGCCCTGTTGCGTGATTGCAAGTCTACCGCCATCAGGTGAAAAGCAGAGTGTTGGACCGTACCATGACCAAGTCTCAATGCCTGGGACAGTAAAGTTACAGGAGTCCCAGGTTTGGAAGGACGATGGCAGCACTTCTATATCAGTAGACATCTCGTCCTTGAAGTTTTGCCTGACTTGACTTCGTTCGGGACTAAATACCAAAGCTGAGCTGTAGAGCTGGAGTGGTACATGATCTAGGATTGCTCTGTGTGTGAGGGCAAACCGCAGAGCATCTTCCACAAGTTGGTGTAATTCCTTTGTTGCTGTTTCGAGCTTCATTATAAATTAGTCTAGAACCTCTTTTCGGTAGAGTCATTAGTACATACCAAGCCAGACCCCAGAGTTTGAATTGATTTGATCGCTCTTGAAACACGGCCTAGCAAGCTCATCGCTTCCAACCAATACAAATACTTGGTCTTCAAAAAGGTTTCCACTAGGGTACAAGTCAAAGAACGCCGAATTGTCTGTCGGGTCGATCTGTGTAGGTGGTCGACCCAATACATGCAACCATACCGTAATGAATCCATAGGGCCAGATGGTGGCTTCGATATCTCATGAACATAAATAGAATCGTCATGTACATGATAGAGGTTGCGGTGGAGCTTTTCCATCACTTTCATACTGCTGACGAACAGCAAGTAGTGCTGCTCTGCAATACCTGAGGGGAAGATGTCAGACTGTGTCTGTAGGAAGTCACTCGCTGACTGGTGGACCGTGAAGACGGTTCTGTTTCGTATGGCCAAGAACGAACCACAGTCGTTAACAATACTAGCCAAAGCTTCGAGGTCTGGCTCCTGTCCCGGGATCCTCGTGATTTTCGTGATCCTATCATCAGAGACGGCAAGCTCTGCTAGGCTCAGAGGCTCAAAGGCTATGGTAACAATAGCAAGAATGGCTTTGCAGATATCCATATCCATCGATTCAAGTACCCCAGTCATCATTCTCTTGTAAAGCTCATCAAGACCTTCGGGGAAGGATTTCAAGACCTGTAAGGTGTGATCAGGCCGTCGAACTTTTGGTTTACCCAGCTGTTCACAGACCAACGAAACCCACAGGAACGTGTCATTGGCGTTGGAACGCAAATGATTCAGAACCTGATCGCGAGTCGATTTCGTATACCCCTTTCTCTTTGCCAAATCTTCAACCTTGCGATCGATGAAACTTTGGACGGCAACATGGATCGCATCGCGGTTGAGCTCTAGATGAAGACTATGTGGTCGCACGTTGTTTGCCACATCGTTGAATTCTTCCTCGATCTCTGGCCAGTTGCGGCTGGACACGATCCATTTGGACTTGTAGGAAGAGGACAGCCGGCATATAAGTGCGATAAGCCTGCTTCGATTTTCAGTGCATTCGTCTAGAGCATCGATGACGAACACATAGTTCTGAGTGGTCTCGTCTTGTAATATTGCGGCGATGATGTTCGATAGGGCTTGGAAATCGTTATGATCGCTGAAGACATCCTTACCGCCTGCGTCGTATTCATTGCGTACGTGGGAGATTAGGTGGGGTTGTGTTTTTGCCAGAAACCAAATAAGGCCTCGAAGTACAGCGGCCGCAGTGCGTAACCGAGGTTCTGCAGCTTGACAGAAAAAGTAGAATATGCTATTAGGGGCATTATGCTCAAGTTCATTGATGATGCCGCACAGAAGCATAGTCTTACCCTTCCCTGGGTCACCTTTGATCCAAAGCAAACGATCGTCGTTATCCTTAAGCCATCTCTGGTAACTTTCGTTCTCGATGACCCATTGGTAAGACTCCGTCACAAGGCCGCCTTTCGCTTCGACAATATTTGCCTTGTCGTTTTTAGGGTTTGTAATGTGTAAGGCCTTCAGGCATTCCTCATCCTTGTCATTGAGTCGGTCTTGTAGCTGCCTAGCATGGTGTTGCTTGTTTTCCAGAAGCATCTCGTGCAAATCGCTTTCGAAAGCTTGCGCAGACTTCGACATGCCTTCCAAGCTTGATATAATTGCCTGAGTGTTATACTGGCTGGAATCACGTTCGATTGCAACCTCCGCTTCCTTAATTTCTTTGATCTGTGCTTCCCAGTCGTCTAACTTGGGCAAATCCCGCATAAAGACGCCCAATTTGCTGCGATTGTATAGGATAACACTCTTCATCTCATACAAGAGTAGCTTTCCGTAGAGACTGATGACATGAGTCTGGAGTTGAGCACGAAGTGGTTGGCTTGATCGGCCAGAGCGGTTTTCATCCAAGAGTAAATTTGACAATGCCCAGTACCACTCCATGCGCATCAATACGTACGTCATTCCATCTCTGTTTTTCTTGGGTTCAGTGAGAGGACTGGTAAGGATTTCGAGCGCACAGCAGATGCCAGCCCAAGGAACGGCGGCCTCGGGAGCAGCCTTGATGCCCGTGTCAATTGCTTGCCTGATAGGCTTGATCATTTCCAACCACTGATTGACTTTCTGCTTCCTGTCTGCATCATTTGCAGTTTTTTCAAGTCCAAATTGAACCAAACGTTCCATTTGCTTCCATCTTACGTCAGCATCTGATGCAATAACGTTTGTTACAGCAGTGCCGTTGTCAGGCGGTAGAATCTCCGTAGGAAGTTGACTTGATAGGATCTTTTCATACGCCTCCACTATACTTTTGCTCGTTTCCGAGCTCTTCAGTTCATCATAGGCTTGATTCCAAAGTCTCCGAGGGAGACCCTCCGAAGCGTGAGCAGTTGGCTCAGTATCCTCAGTTGGCTGGGTGTCTCTAGATGACTGATGATTGGGGTCCGGCGGGGCTGGCGAAGTTGCTCTGCTCTTTCGTACCTTCGCCTTAAGCTTCCCAAAATTCTTTCTGAAATCCATCGTCAAATTTCAGCGTTTCAAAATGAGTATTCTGATCGATGGGAAGTGGAAGAAGCCAGGAAAACCCCGCAGTGCTGGTAGATATGTGCAGCCTCGTTTGGGCATTGTGCAGAGCCAACACATACATGCATAACCTCCACTATTCTGCATATCTGACGCCACTGTTCCAGTTCCATATGCCAGGCAGATCGTTTTCAGCGATACCCGAACTCCAATGTCGCATCTTTTCAAACTCCAGCATTACATCGTATGAGCCGAGCCTTTTCACCAAGGACAAGCAAATCCATATATGTCTGCTTAGCCTTACCACGGTACTCTCTTACTAGCTTGAAGTTATCTAGAACTTCAAACAATCAACAGTCAAGACAACGCTTCCTGGAAACAGAGTTCATACATAGTCGGAGTTAATGACTAGGGAAATTTAACGAGCTGTTCTAAGGTATTAATATAAACATATTAGGAGCTACTAATTTTAATTAATAACTAAAGCTTTAAATAACTTAATAAAATATATTAAGCTTAAAATATCTTATTTAACTTTAAAAAGTTTTAATAAAAACTAAAAAAAATATATACTTTTATAATATATTAATTAGTAACTTTATTAATAGTAGTTAAGGTATTATAATCTTCTAAATATAGTTACTAGGAAAATTATAAATAAATATAGTTAAAACTATATTAAGTTCTCTTAAAGATGGGAGCTACTAGTCTTTTATTAGGCTTTTTTACATAGCCTTACTTAAATTCTTAAGCGCGATATAGAGAGTCTCTTTATCTAGCTTATTGGTTAAACCTCAATTACTGCCTTCTTCCCACTCACGCCTTTACTAATCATATCTACGGCACCCTGAATCGCCTCAAGCCCTTTCCCCACAATCTCAGTATGGGGCATACACTTCATTTTCCCATCCTCAAGAGCTCCTGGAAGCCAATCAACCCATAGTCTCTTCCCAGTATCGGTTGATCCCAGAAGAACATGGTCATTGATCAAGACTTGCACGCCGTCTGGTATGGTTCCAGGGATAGGTACCCCAGGAGGGAGTATAGTTCCCAGACATTTCTTCCCCTGGAGTCTGTCTGCAATCGTGGCGCAAGTCGTGATAGCAGTGTCCGAGTATACGGCACAGTAAACTCCCGCCAGATCGCCAATGCCGCTCAGCATGTTGATGATATCTTCCGCAATGCCATCTTTCTTGTAGTCGAAAATATAGTCCACGTTCATCTCTCTCAACAACCCATGGTTACGCTCGCTCGCGGTAGCCGCAACGATATATCCAGCAGCTTTCACAGTCTGGATCGCATTCGAACCAACACTTGAGCTACCTCCCCAAACTACCACGACTTTTCCTTTCGAGTTGATCTCGGTTCCAGCCACGGGTAGTTCGAGACCCATCAAAGATGGACTGAACAGCATAGCAGATGATGTTGTAAACCCCAGAGGAAGAACTGCAGCTTCCTCGAAAGGTATGCGATCTGGGATCTTGGACACCATGGGCTCAATCATGATGGAGTAGTCTTGGAAGGCCCCATACTTGTTATCGCCCTTCTGCCACGCCATTGCATGACCTAATACACGGTCTCCGGGTTTGAATCTCGTCTGATCGGGTCCAACAGAGACGACTTCCCCAGACACATCGTTACCGTTGACGTAAGGGTAGAACTCTGGTTTGATGACGATACCGAGCTTTTGAACAGCGTAGTCGGCCGGGTTGATAGCAACGGCTCGTACACGAATGAGTATCTCAGTTCCAGTTGGAACAGGAATTGGTGACGACATAATGATCATAGGATGAGCCTTTGGGTGAGGCAATACCGCAGATCGATTCAGTGTTTCTGCGGTTGAAGACATGATGCGGAACAAGTTTGTGATATTGTGGAGTCAAATCGGAAGATGCAGTTGATGTTGTGTATGAATGGAATATTTGAAAGATAAATAGAGATCTTGGCACTTTAATACACATTGATATCGGCATCGGTTGTTACTTTTGTTGGTCGTCCGGTTGTGGACATAAGATTATCACCAACCTTAACTCCGGGTCCCCTGGGAAGCTACACCCAATTGACAACACCACATCTCACTGGAGCGCCATAATTATTTTCTCATCAAAAACAGTGAACGAGGAGATTCTCATAACTCCGTTTCAACATGGCTGAGACTTGTCTAACCCCCTGCTTAGAGTTCAGTTTAGTTACACTGAAGCGCTATCTCTTGCTAGGCTGGGTAAGACACATTGAATGCTTATAAGCTAAAGTCTTCCAATTGCATATCTTGGATTCTGACTCTTCACTAGCCTTCCCATTTTGTGGCTATAGAACTCTGCCTTGCGTAATGCCTGACGAAAACATATATCAGATTCATGAATCCGGATTAACCAAAACATAACGGAATCGCGGCTTTCCAGCCTCAAAATCAATGATAGCCTGGTTTGCCTCTGACATGGGACGCATCTCCACCCAAGGCTTGACATTCTTATCCGCGACCAGCTGCAGCATTTCTTTGATCTCAGCTGGCGATCCAATGCTTGAGCCAGCTATCCGGCGGCGTGCGCCGGTCAGGCTGCCGGGTCGGAATGGGAGCTGCCCTTCTGGAAGCCCGACTTGGACGAGCGTGCCGTCTAGTCGTAAAAGGCCAATATAATCAGCGAGGGGCATCTGCGTCAAGCGAGTCAGTGGCAGATTGGCTTCAGTCAAGTGAGAGGACATACCTTTGGAGATGAGACAGTGGAGATGATTAGGTCGAGCCTCCGAGAGTTCTTGGTTTCCCATCCCTCCTCATCCGCAGTTGCGATGTAATCTGTGCATCCAAGATCCATAGCTTCCTGTCTCTTACTTTCTCGGCGCGAGATACCTACGACCTCATCGGCGCCAAGCGCACGTGCAAAGACTACGGCAAAATGGCCTAGACCCCCAACGCCAACTATACCGACCTTCTTACCAGGCCCAGCACCGAACTGCTTTAGAGGCGAATAGACGGTCACGCCACCACAGAGAAGCGGCGCTGCATACTCTGGAGCAACACCTTCGGGGATGCGAATAACAAAGTGCGAAGGGCAGCGGTGATAGCGGGCATAGCCACCTTGCGTTTTGTCGCCTGTTGATAGGAACTTTGAACCGTAGGTTGGGGCCATGCGGGTGCAGTAATTCTCTTCTCCAGAGGCGCACTCATTGCATCTAGGCCGTTCATCGTTATCATCGCCTAACTTGCGATTGAGACATGCGTCGGATTGGGCACCGACACCGACGATGTCGCCGACTTTGATGCCGCCTTCAGCTTGGCTACCAACGCGGACGGCGACACCGACAATCTCGTGGCCTACCACGACGGGGTACGGGGCTTGTCGCTGTGGTACCAAGTAATGCATCAGTGATGTCTCGTGTAACAATAAGCTTCGTTTGAACTTACCCAGCCAGAGCGGAGGACGTGAATGTCAGAGCCGCAGATACCACAGTGGGTGATTCGGATATCAACGTCAGTCTCCTCCCACTTTTTGGGCTCGTACTCTTGCCATACCATATTCCCTTCAGCGGATCGTTCATCCTCTCCCATCCATCCCTCGAACTTGTAATCAGAAGTCATTTCTAAGACGTTTTCTTACTTGTCAGCTATATCGTCCTGTGAAGTCTAGAAAGGAAATTGGGATGGCTTACCGAGGGGCTTGCAGATGCATTATATGCCGAAAACCATTGACGTAATGAGGGAAGTTTCGTCAAGGGATCGGTTCCGTGTTGTTGCGGGGGCCCAAGACACGGCATAGATGATTGATTGGCCTGGAAGCTCTTCAGTCTTACATCCCCGGTTCCGTCGGAACGCTAATGGTATCTCCGTCGGAGTTGATAAGCAAGTCTAGCCAATAGCAAACTATCCGTAGCTCCCATCCAGGGACTAAACAAGGTAGCTAACGATTAAGTCAAACCTTATCGTTCAGCGATATGCAGTACTCCTCACCTTGGGGCCGCCACGTACGTAGAGCTTCAATAGCTATAAGAAGACATCTTCCAACCGTCCGAGATATTTCGCAGTATCAATTGAGCTTACATCTTCAACTCATCTCAGTCATCTAATCGACTATCTACACCAATTCTCCAAACACTTGGCTTCACAACTCACCACAATGTCCAAGCAAGACGACAAGACTCCTGTCCGTGACACAGCGGAAGATGACGCCTACTTCCCCTCACCCTTCTCCCTCACGCAATACGTTACCGCCAAGACAGACTTTGACGGCGCCGACTATCCAAACAAATACACCGGCGGCAAGTGGAAGATTCTCATGATTGGCACTCAGGAGCGATATCTCAAAATGGCAGACGGCAAGTTCTTCTCCACGGGCAATCACCCAGTTGAGATGCTTCTGCCTATGTATCACCTCGACGCTGCTGGCTTCGACATCGACGTTGCTACGCTCTCGGGTGATCCTGTCAAGCTCGAGATGTGGGCTTTCCCTCAGGAGGATGAGGCTGTGAAGTCGATTTACGACAAATATAAGCAGAAGCTTCGCAGCCCCCTTAACCTGTCTGAGGTCTGGAATGGCAAAGACGGTAAGGGGTTCGATCAAGAAACACCTTATCTAGCAGTTTTCATTCCCGGCGGTCACGGCGTGCTGAACGGCATACCCTTCAGCAAGACCGTTGGCGATGTTCTCCGTTGGGCTCACGCAAATGATCGGTTCTTCATCACCCTCTGTCACGGACCTGCTAGTATCCTGGCCGCAGACGTCGGCAAGCCTGAGGGTTCCAAGTTTATTTATGATGGCTACAGCATCGACGTGTTCCCTGACTCGCTGGATCAGGGTGCTAATATCGACATTGGCTATATCCCTGGCAAGATGGAGTGGCTGGTTGGAGAGCGACTGAAGAAGCTCGGTGTTACGCCAATCAACAAGACTATTTCTGGTGAATGCCATCGAGATCGTCTGTTATTGACGGGTGATTCTCCACTGGCTTCGAATAACTTGGGCAAGCTTGCAGCCAAGACGCTATTGGAGGAGGTGAACAAGTAAAATTCCGAAGAGCTGGGGTCAAGTAAAAGCAATGTAGTAAGAGAACCTAGGTTCTGATATAAAATTGATAATAAATTTACTTCCGCAACCATTAGTACCTGCCTCGCTTATGACCCGTTTCATATGCTATGACATGACCTTGGTGTAGAATAAGGTTTTTTTTTGCATGTGATTCTTGTCTTGTCCGAGATCCAATGTGAATCATACGCGCCTTAACTTTCCACCGTAGGGAAAAGCTTTAGGTATTCTACAAAGATCACAACACAACCCATCATTTCCGTTCCAGAGTCTCTGTAGCTGCTTTCCATTGTGTCTTCCGTTACTCCACTAGCCATTCCCTTCTGATCTGCGCACAGCTGGGTCATAAAAGTACACAAACAGCATAGTGGGCTCCGTCACCGCCTAACCACTGTGGGGAAAATGAGGGGTATAGAGCTTCCGACGGACCTTAGCCCTAGCGGACACCCGACGAGCACTTCCGTCGGAGGCATCACGTCCAAGCGCGTCTTCTTCCACACGATCTCCCATGATGTCTTCGTCTGTGAGAAAAAGACAAAAAGTATCTTCCGCTTGTGAGCGCTGCCGCAAGCGTAAGCTCGGAGTATTTATCCTCATCGCTACCAATCTCATAACTTGTCTCGCTGACCAATTCGCAGTGCGACGCGGAGAGACCTTGCGTACACTGCATCCGTGCGGGTGCCCAATGTATCCCTCGAGCATCGGCACCTAGAGACACTGCAGAGTCTTCGTCTGAACGGACGGGATATGCTGAGTCTCCAGGATCACCTATACTTCCAGAGTCTAGCATCGTTGACCTAAGTACTCTTGTGAGTCTACAGACAGCAGCCTCCATCTCCAGGAAGGACTTGACACTCATTTTAATACAGATAATTCGCGGAAATGGCCCCAACCAGGACTTACGCCATGATACGTCCTCACTGCCCGGCGGAACAAAGCTCCTAGAAACCAACATCACGCTCTCTGCCAAGCATTGGCGTAACGTAGTAGGCGTAGAGCTCCCCGAAGACCATATTATTGAGGACTTAGTAGACAGCTTTTTCTCTGCGGTGGACTGGTTCATGATGGTCTTCCACGAAGATACCTTTCGCCGCCGGTACGCAGACATGCTGCAGCAGACACAGATCAAGTACCAAGATACAACGTTCTATTGGACCTGGCTTCTCGTAGTAGCGCTGGGCGCACACTACGCTGCACTCAAAGATCCTGATGACCAGATGAGTCCTCAATACCGACAGCTTTCTCGAGACCTGATTGCCGTTATTGAGACGCGGTTCCTGCAGATTATTGGGTGTCAGACGGTAGAGACAGTCCAGATATGTATCCTGCTCGGCAGTTTCATATTCTATACGCGGCCTACAACGGGACTAGGTATCTGCGGCATGGGAGTCAAGATCGCTCAGGTCATTGGGCTGCACCGTGAGAGCTTCTGGAAAGAGACGTCTCAGCTAGCACGGGAAATCAAGCGACGGACCTGGTGGACGTTGGAAGTCTTCGATAAGTAAGTGGTATCTCAGTATCTGTGTGTTTCGAAACTTACCACGTCCTTACAAACAGATACGCCGCTGTAGCTTTCGGGCGCCCCTGCATTATTGATGACTCTGATTGCCAGGTCGAGATGATCTCAGATATTGACCTTGATGGCCTTGTGCACGTCCCTGCAAGGCCCCTTATCCTATACCATCAACACAAATTCCGGCTCTATAGAATCATGGGTGCGTTCTTAGGGCGTAAGAGGCAAAGAAACAACTTCGAGTCCGTTGAAACTATACATCAGCGAATGCTGCAGTGGCGCCAAGAGCTCCCCAGTGTCCTAACTCTCAAGGGTCAAGAGAGTTCCATGGACGCGGGCGTAGTGAAACCAACTGAACTACACGCTCTTAGCCTACAACTCACCTACGACAATCTTCAGATAATCTTGCATCGAACAGCAGTCTTCAACAACACCAGTGACATCTCAGCCATTTCACTTAAAAGCAGTTCTTCTCTTCAGCAGATCTTCACCTCAGCCATGGATACGTCCGAGCTCTTCCGCCATCCTCGCATTCTAGATGCATGCAGAAAAACCCACGCAGACGTCCACGTTGGCATGACTTTGTTCACAGCTGGTGTTGTTCTCTGCGCTATCTGTCTGTCACAGCCTCTTACTGAAATGGGGTCCCGTGCAAAAACTGGGGTTATGCATATTACACGCATGTGTCGTGAGACTACAGCTAGTCTTTACAGTGGCCAGCTTGTCTCGGAGCAGAGCCTTGGGATTATTGATAGCTTGGTTCAAGTCATGCTGCGCCGAGAGACGGACATGATAACCGGCCGAACGAGTTATCCAGGCCTCAATGACGGCTCTACCAAAGGAGATGCAGTTTCATCTATTCGGGGCTCATCCACGGCAAGCAGAGCAATAGCGCCCAAACCAAGTACAACCGCAACTGGGCTGAGTGAGCCTAGTAACGAGCGAGTCTTGGAGCCGATTCAAGAAGGTAAACATAATATTGCTATGTTAAGAACACATACTTCAAGTGGGCATGAGCTTACAATATGGTCATAGTCTTTAGGCAACACATTTCCACGCCGCCAACGGGATCCAACTCGGAGCCACAAAGGATCGTTAGTGGAGGTTTGGGTAACAATGGAGACCAAGAGGCTATGGGCACGTTCAATTGGGACGGCGACATGTCTGCCCTTGTGGATTCGGGACTTGTGGATGCTAGTCAACTGTGGCTATGGGCGGATACCCTAGACTTTGACTCTTTTAACGATCCGGCCCTAGAGCCAACAGAATAATAACCGGAATAATCATTGAAAATTTGGATATACAAGGCAATGAACTATTACCAACAGATTCGCAAGAAAGGTGCCGTTACATAAGGATCAAGAAGGATATCTCAATTACCGGCCTTGGCATGTAAATCAATGAAACTATCCCACTATGGCAAGTGCTATAATGCTGAGCATTAAAAACACTCTCGATTTAACTCGACTACTGATACTTGACGTCTCAGTCGAGGTTTGTGATGCTGTTATGGTCCACGTCTCACGCGACGAGGCAGATAGAGTTGGTAGATCCTCAGCATTAGTCTGAGCAGGTTCGTTGGTCGCTGACTGCAAAACCTCAGTATGTATACATCGATAATATTCAGTATTTGTTGCACTTACATGCTCTGCCCCGATGATAGACCGAAAATTGTCACAAATTCCATACCCGTACGCATTTGTCGTCGCAGCTTCTGTGGCCAGACATGAAGCGTTCCCAATATACTGACAAGTGTAAGCCTGCCGAAGTAGTCGAGGTTGGCACTCGCAAGAGCTCAATCTCGACGTATCAGTATCAGAAACATACGGCAGGCAATCGCTGAGTATATTCCGGGCCGTTTGACATGCTTTGTCAACGTCGACACAGAGCTGCTCTGGATAAACGGTGTATGGTTCAGCTGAGGGAGTCGTTGGAGAAAATGTCACGTAGCTGCGACAAAGACTCTCCCAAAGTTCGATGCCTCTGTCGAATGAGTCTTGATAGTAATTGCCCCGGTAGCAGAGCTGTAGCTCATTTTCACAGCTGTCCAGCATCAGTAACGAGATGGCCGGCTTAGCTGAAGCACTTACTTATATAGAGAGTCTAGATATTCTTGATTGCAAAGGCATTTCTGCTTTCCGGGACGGTCTAACACAGTCGCGCAAACATTGCCGGAATTGAGAAAGCCGTTACATGCAGGGAACGAAGTGATGTCTGATCCGGCCTCGCAGGTCCAGCTTGTTGAGATTGTTTGCGCGGCGCAATGCTTTAGTAAGTATGCGAGTATTATGTGAGACTTCATTGTGAATTATCTTGGATGCGCATCGTGAGAAAGATGCAGAAAGGTCTCTTCAGGTCATTGGCTTCGAGGAAGGAGAGTCGCGGCGTAAATAAGACTGGCCCGCTTCAGGGGATGTCTTAGGTTGAAGTCTTATCTTCCCACCTGCCGTACCACCAGAAGCAAAGTGAGCAGCTCATGACCAGCCACTGTCTTTTATCCTGGGCTGTGATTCGGTCATGGAATGAGAGTTGAAAAGGTGATAAGCCATTATCACGTTCGGTGATGGAAGATGGTGTGAAACTCGTGCAATCTCATTGGCGAATGAGCCGTGCTAGATCTAGCCTCACCACTACTTCTAACCGTTTTGGACTCCATTGTCACCCTCGTTAACCAATACCAAATCATACACCACCGCTCTGGGGAACATGCACCAACCAATTAACGGCCTAGATATACTAATATTACAGAAAGTATACCCCTTTAACCTAAAGCCCTAGCCCTAACTCTAAGCCCTAACTAACCCTAATACAGCCTCTAGCCTATAACTAACCCTAATTAACCCTAACTAATTAGCCTAATTTAGCTTAAAATAGCCTATTTTACTAAGTTAAGTAGTTAACTTACTGTTAAGAGGTATAGTTATAAGCTAATAAGAGCTAATAAGAGATTTTAGCAATATAGCCTATATACTAAGAAAAGCAAGGTAAGGTATTTTTAACCAATTAGAAGGCTAGGAACCCTTATTTTGCTGGTATATGATTCCTAGAGCGTTAGTGTATGATTTAGTACTGCTCGTTAACGACTTGAAATCGCGCGAGAAAACTTAATCCGGCTCTTTTATGAGTACATGCATCGGCTGCCAGAGACAGATGTGAGAAAACGTGTTCCGGAACAGTCTTTCATCTTGTGCTTCGAGTCAACATGCGTTCAACACCACGAATCACGGCACCTTGAAGTATTCTTGGACTTCTATAAAGCAATGTGAGTTATTTAGCATGTTTCCATTCCTATGTCTGTCTGTTCTCGTTCCTCTATTAAGGCTGCAAGACAAGAGGTCGTCCCTGACAGAATATCACCAGTTTTTCGCGACGCAACATCGTCCGTACTTGGTGTCATTAAAGGCTTACTAAGTACAATCAGCAACAAATACAAGGCGTACAAGAACAGAGTCCCTCCTCAAAAACCACCGCTGCTTCTCACGGAATGGGGCATGGTCCTTCAGTTTCTGTGCCAGACCATCATAATTACGACCATCTCTGTACTATGGCATATATCAAACACAAACAATGGCCTGGTTACAGTGGGAGACAATCCTGACCCTTCATTTGACTCAAAAGGGTTTCATCCTCCTCCAATTCTGAGCTCGTCTATTGTTTGGGCTACTGTCCCTGCGTGGATCGTGTCGGCTTATTCCACGTTATGGTCTGCAATGCTTGGTTCACTGAAAAAGGTCTATCTTCTGCTCAAACTTGAAAAGGAGCACCAGAAACCTTTGCCGGGCATTGAATTCTTTACGCAGCTTTGGGAACGACGCTTCCGTCACCAGTCCGCTCAATCTCAGTCTATCTCACGAACGAGAGGCTCTACGATCGAAAAGACCTTGTTACTGGACTACGGGGAGTGGCCTGTTATAAATGGCTTTCGGGCCATGCGGACAGGCCATGTTCTCTTGGGTATATGTCTCCTCCTACGAGCAGCTCTCTGGACTGCAGGCGGTCTTACCGCAGCAATCTTTGCGACAACTCTGGTTCCTTCTAAGGCTCCCGCCACTCTCTACAGTGATCAAAGCTTTGACGAATATCTTGGTTGGGACGAGGCAAGCGGCTCTGATAACGCATCGGCAACACCAGCATTTGACCTTGTGAGTGCCACGGTTTTAAGAAGTGGAGAAAATCATCCTTGGACGACAGATACACATTCTTTCTTGCCATTCACGCCTATTTCCAAGGACTTCCGTGGAAACTACACCTTCGAAACTGAGGCATACACCTCAAATCTTGACTGCACTATCGCTAGCGAGAACGATCTAGTCAAGATCGGGGGGATAAGTCTTGATCTCGAGGAGGACGACGACCTGGATTCTGCTCAAATTCGTTTCAGATTTAAGCACGAGGGCTGTGATGTCAATAAGTGGTTCACTCTTACAAACAACGCCCTGCAGTACGCAAGAACTTGGTATACCAACTGCGGTCTGAGCAGCGGCCGAGCAAGATTCGGAATGTTTTCAGGGGTCTTCAACGCAACCGAAAAATATCACCTGTCCAACTTAACGGTTGTGACTTGTCGGCCTCTGATATATAAGTCTAATGTCACGCTGGAAATGTCATTTCTTAACGACACCACTGCCCCCAAGGTGATTAAGTTCGCACAGACAAGTAGAGAGCAGTTCTGGCCTGATTTCGTGTCCGGTTGGCTGCGAAACATCCCGCGATACTCGCTCTTCGATCCAACTATATACAACGACATGGATACCTTCTCGCGTCTGGTCATCGGACATGCTTCCGGGGAGGCTACCATTGACACTTTGCCGGACAAACAAAAGATTGGAAACTCCTTCAATGTTATCTTTGCCGCTCTTTTTGCCAACTTCGTGACGTTGGAAGCTTATCCTAGTATACAGAGACACGAGGTCGCCGGTACCATGTCGCGGCTGAGACTTCGATTGTTTGTGGTCAAGTCTGCTGCACTGGCTACAGTGATTATCCTTTCTGTCACATTTGTCACCACTGTCATTCTGGCACTTCACTTACACCGCAACCGACATATCACTAGTCTGTACATGGACCTCTTGCTGGGTACGGCAATACTCCTACGAAACGGGAGCTCTAGCGGGCTTGACAGTTACTTGAATGACCGAGCAATGTTGAATAATGCCCCTAGCTCGTATACATATGGGATTAATCTCGTAGAAGCTGAGAAGAGGAAGTCGGATGTGAAAAGTCGTGAAGTATGGGTAGAAGGAACACCAAGGACTCTGCATATAAATTGGCCATAAGACTAAATTGATAATATCGCCCAGCTAACTTGTGTAATTACTAGAGGATCACCCTATGAACCTAAATCCATTTAATCATGTCCTGAGAAATCTACCCTTGAGGAGTGGCCTGACTTGGGCTTTGGTGTCTTATTCACGAAGAAGTAGTAACGAGGGAACAATCGAAGGCCTACCAGACCATTATGATAAGATTCTAATCAAATGTAGCTACAGAAATGTCCAAATTATAAACGCATCTGTGTTAGTTATCAATTTTTCCTGTGCCCTTGCTCAAATTCCTTTATAATAGGCTTCTCCTTTTACCCTACTTTGCAGGCACACAGTCCTCAAGTTACTGAGCAATATCCTTGAGACCTTCATTCCGCATTCCCTTGGCACTTTCAAATGTGTTTAAGCGAACTCCATAAAACCCTTTATCTTATTACTCTCTCATCATAGGCTCTCAAGCCATTTTGTATCAGGCGGCAGCTCAGACCTATTGGACACCAACTCAAGAGCCATTCCCAACTCTGCGGCCATATCCTCAAGATCCTCTGGTGGCACAGTGCCGATCTCTGATGTCCAAGCAATATACCTTAGCGATGGGAATAATTCCTTATTAGTGAGCAATGTTTTGATCAGTTTGTAGTCATTGGGAAGCAATATTCCTTCTGGCATCTCCTCTTCTGACCAGCATGGATACATCTCCTGCAGGAACAGAACCTTGAGGTTAGGTGGGATATTATCCTTGAGCATTTGCAAGAAGTCGAGATTTTCCTCATACCAATAAGGGCCAAATAATGCTCTGGGAGGAATAGCAAGATATTGCAGGGCAGTAAACTCTGCAAATTTCATGCCTGGATTGTTGAAGCAAAGGGGATCGTGACAATCCCACCACAGTTCCAATATTTTGAGGCTGCTCTTGCATGGCTGGAGAAGGTCAGAGAAATCTGGGGGATCCCTGTGGGCTGGTACATCAAAAGGATGGTGGAACTCGAGATGTCTGAGCGACTTTGCGTTCTTGAGGAATTTGTTCAAGACCTCGTAAGAATAATCGTGGGCATGAAGGTAAAAGGAGTCGAGATTCTCAAGAGGGAGAGGTCGGACAGACGGCCGTGCGAATTCACCGACCCTGACTTTCTGTAGCTTGAGAGTTGTGAGGGTTGGATGAGAGAGCAGTGGAATGTCCTGCAAAGTCATCTTATAGGTTTCCCTGGGATCATCCTGTATGAAATTGACTTGGCAGAGGGTTAGTTATCTCCCTTCATCCACCATTGCGACAGTTGAGCTTACACGTCTTCAGTTTCGGTTTGGCAGCCATGCGACTGTTCAGTTCTCTCTTGCGTCCCTCGTCCAGCCTCGAAAGCTGGCTTTCTCGTTATTATTATTGTTATTATTATATTATTTAACGTCCTACTAGGCTTCCCCTAGCTAATCTCTATAAGAAGTAAAGAGACGTACTAAGCTAGCTAAAATAGGCTATTTTACATATAGGCCAGGTAATAGCCTACTAAAAATAAGGCTTTATAAGGCTACGTATCTAAATCATAATAAAATCTTAATAACTCCTTTGCCCTTTTAATTTTAAAAAGGCCTTATTTCTAAAGCTTAGTCTCCGTTAGCAAAGGCATATAAGCATAGCTATTACTGCCTATTTAATCTAATTATTTAGCAGTTAAATTATCTAAACCTATTCTTTATAACTACTAGTAGTTATTTCCTTAGGTATATTAGCTTGCCTGCTACTAATTAACTAAGTATACTTTCCTTAACTAAGAAAAATATTAGTATAAAAGAAAAAGAAAAGAGTATTTTTATTACCTGGTTAGGCAATTAACTTACTTCTAGTATAAGTTTTAGGCCCTATTTAGCATTACAGGCAGATCTCTGTAAAAAAGCTTATTGCCTCTATAAACTTAATAAAATCTTAGTATTTTCTGCCTATTATTTAGTTAATTTCCCTTTAAGGTATAGGTATAAGCTATAGCCTCTTATTAAGGGCAATCTTTTAATAATAAAAAAGGTAATTAGGTAATTTCTACTACCTGTAAAAGTATTTAAGCAGGGTATTATTATACTAAAATCTTTTATAGTAGTTAGTAAAGTCTCTATAGCCTATTCTAGCTACTAGTAAATAGTACAGTAAGTGATAAAGGCTAAGCTTTTTTAGATATTTTAGTATAGCCTTAAGGCTAAGGTTCTTATAGCTATTAAGAATATTAGTAGTTTACTAGTCCTTAAAATCTTTCTTTATTCTGGCTTTAGCCTATTTATAGATATAGGCTAGCGTTAGTTAGGCCCTAGGTAATTCTAGAAGTTTATAGCTAGCTTTAGCTAGGGTATCTGCTTATTTATTACCTTTATTATCTATATACCTAGAGTACAATTTAACCCTAATAAGGCTACAGGCCTAAGATATTTATTAAAATTTAAAGAATATATTCTATAAAGAGTTTAAGGCATTTTACTATAACCCTTTAGCTACTAATATATTATCTAGGTATATAGTTATATAGTCTTCTGGCCAGGCTAACTATATAGCTACTTTAAGGCCTTATAGAGCGCCTATTACCTCTATATTAAAGACCTTTGCCTTCCTAAGTTACCTATTACCTTTACTAACTATTAGCCTTAATTAGTAGATTATATATCTATAGCCTGTAGCCCTGGATATTAGCTATAACTTATCAGAGTATATAATTAGATCTAGGGCATTGGTAGACTGTAGCTAGGCATTAAAGCTAAGGGCTATATATTTCTTTAGGTAGCTTCCTTTTAGTAATAAGAAGTATATATACCTTAGTGCTATAAGTTTAAGCTATAGTGTAGTAAAGAGGAGTTTCTAGGTATACTTAAGCTATATTAAACTGCATATTTTATTTCCTCTTATATCTTTTAGGCTATTTAAAGTAATAACTAGCAGATACTTTTTATCTAGTGCCTATAGTTATATATAAAAGTATCTTTATTTTGCCTTTAGTATCTATTTAGCTAGTAAAATGCTACTTTCTTTATATAGTATTAGGGTAGGTATTGTTTTCTAGACTAGAAATATAACTTATATTAAGTCCTTAAGGGCACTTTCTATAAGCTATATTAGGTAGTTTACTTTAGTATTAACCTATACCCTGCTATTATTTCTATTAGCTGCTACTAATATATACCTATAATTAACTATCCTTAAAGTGCTCTTTCCTATATACTACGCTTTAGATATATATATTTATTACGACCTTAGCAGTTACGTCACGTGTGAAATTATACCCTATAAATTTCACCTAATAGAGATACTATAGCCTATATCTACTAACACTTATAAGATCTAACATCAGACTAACTAGAATAGGACTAACTAATATTAGACTAATAGCGCTCCAGGACTGCGTCGCTCCAGGACCAACGGCAACCTTACATTGCATTGCTTTTACTAAGGAACTATAAGTATATATATACATTTATTTAGTATTAGATAGAACTTAGCTTACTAGCTATTAATAATACTTCTTTATATTAATTAAGCCTAACACGCATTGATTTACTATTAAGAGACGTGATACTTTAATAACGCTTAGTATATGCCCTACGCAATCTGCTAACAATAAACCCAAGCACGGCTTAGTTTAATATAGTTAGACCTAACCGTTATAATATTGCTATAGGGACTATATAGGCAAGTGTAGTATATTAAATAGTATTTAGTTAGGGCCTGTAGGCAGTGTTAGAAAAGCCTTAAAGCAGACTAAAGACTATATAGGCTTTGGCTAATTACTTTATTATATAATTATAAAAGGTAAGCTTCCTATTAAACTATATACTAAGCTATCTTATTTTCTTCTCTGTTTTTACTACTTAGCCTTTATATATAATAGTTAGGCTTTCCTTATAGTACTTACAGGTAAAGTATATTACTTTTATCTTTTTAAGTCTAAATAAAATATTTTATTTCTTTTCCTTTTAAATAATTTTAGCTAAGTTATTAGTAATTAGTTAGGTAGTCTTAGTAAGGGTCTTGCTAATTTATATTATAGTAGTATTATTAGTATATTCTAGTTTAATTACTAAGGCAATCTTTATCTTTACTGCTAGGTATATAAAGCCTATATTTTCTATACTATAGATCTATATAATATATAGTATATATAGGATAGGCAATATAAGCAAGCCTTAGGGAAGGCTATAGTTAAGGGAGTAGTAGTCAAGGGGGCAGTAATCTATAGTAAAGTCCTATAGCCTAATCCTTGCTAATCTATCTATTATAAAGGAGTATATCTATTAAATTATTAGTTCTAGCTAGCCTTATTACCTAAAAGCAAGCGCTATTTAGTTCCGTAAGGTTATATTAAAGGCTCTTTTAATATTAGCAGTAATTATAGTAACTACTAGTCCTTAGTTTAAGGCATTTTTTATAATATATATAAGGATAGTAGTAAGGTCTATAGCTAAGTATTTTAGTAAGGTACTAAATTAGTTAAGGTATAATATACCTTAGTTAACTGCAGTATAGGCTATCCGTTTTACTATTAGCCTTTCTAGGCCTTTAAAGAGGCAGGAAAGGAAAGCAATTAATTACTAAGAGTATATATTAAAAAGGTCTCTCTTTCCTTTAAGTATTATTATTACTTTTACTAGCTTAAAAGCCAGTAAGTAATATCTAAGTATAAGGTATCTCTAATATAGCTATAGTATATACTTCTTAATATATAGCTAAATAGCCTTAAGGATATTAATAGTAATATTATTAAAGCCTAGAAATATATTACCTATTAAGGTAACTGCTTATATTATTTCTTCTAGTATAAGTTCTATAGGAAGCTTAATAATTAAAGTAAAGTTAATAAGTACCTACAGGTTAGGTATATTATTCTTTACTATAAATCAGTCTAGGATTACAAAGCGCAGTACTTCTATCTTCTTTAGCAAGCTAATATATACTTTCCCTTTATATTTAATAAGTAGTACTTATACTTAGTTCTTTAGTTAGGTCTAGTATATAATAGGCTAGATATCTTTTAGTTCCTAGATATTATTAATAATAGTAGTTCTATTACTCCTTTTAGCTTTCTATACTTTCCTTTAAAAG